ATTCCTGTGGAACCTGATTGCTTTTCTGTGCACTGCCTCCCCCTCCCTCACACACACTTACCATGGTTTGTCTCCCTTCAAGACTTATGGGGGATTCTGGCAGTCTTTGTCTTTTCATGTGTGTATGTGTATACTTGTGTGTGTGTGTGTGTGTGTCTGTCTGTCTGTGTGCTTACGTATACACACAGTTCTTGCCTGGTAGCAGATTTTATAGATGCTGGTCTTTTGACAAAAATTTTTTTTCAAAATTTGTACTACTTTTAGAACTTTACCATGGAGGATCTGAGTTCTAGGTCCTATCATACTGCCATCTTCCTTAGCTCCTTTTCTACTACACATTTTTTGCCTTTCTATGTTTCTAGACAGAGGAGTGTTAAGTGACTTTCCCAAATGTATGAACTAGGAGCAGAATCCTTTAAAAAAAAACAAACCCAAACAACACTTCTATTACATATCATTCTAACTCTGCCAATAGTTTTTGTTTGTTTGTTTTAAATTTGCCTCCAGTAAATCATACAACCTATTTATTTGCATTACAGGCCTGAACATGGGAAGAAGCTGACTGGCTAGAGGAGAAATGACTAAGGAATTCTCTATACTAAGTAAGTTTGAATTGCCTATCAATTCCACTCAAGGCTAGTAAAAGTATTGCAGTGGTTGCTAAGTAAGCAAACAGTTGAGGAGGGGAGGCCAAGCAGGAGAATTGGATTATGGTAACTTTCCTCCTACTGCCCTATCTCTGTCACTGTTAAGTGAGAACCATTTCACTACTAAGGGCTGGAGCAACACTGTTACCTTTCACTCTTAATAGAAACAAAATATTTTGTTTAACTTCCAGTCAACATCAACAGGTAAGCAGATAAATGGCTATCTGTGAGTTTGCATACCACATTCCTTGTTTTAATGAATGATTTGGATTGTTTTCAATTGGACCTAAGTTTTTAGCTGTATGCAAAATGTTCCTCTATTCATTCAATTACCTTAAGGATGAGAACAAATTAAAATTTAGAAATATGTAAATATTAGCCAATAGTCCTCCATCTTGCAATACTAGTAAATGTAGCACCTACTATCTTAAAGAACACAAGGAAGAACGGTCTTATAATTCGAGTCTAAATAAAGCTTTACATAAAGTTTTTACTCAACCTTAAATGTATAGGGCCATTAATATTTCGTGATTCAAAATGTTATTACTCAGATTTGTACTCTAAGACATCCATTTTCAATGTTACATTTCCCGTAGAATGATCACATAAATAGCATTATTGCCGAAAGAAGATGGGTAGGTCAAAAGATTAAAATTTGATTTTAATATATTTAAGTAAAATATAAAAATAAATCATATAGATCAAAATATAAACAGGTCCTTTAGAACGAAGAAGCAATTTTCAGGGCTTGTTTTGCTGTAGTCTTTTTGCCAGGATTTTATTTGAATATTTTGAATCAATATGTGTTAATGACATCGGTCAATAGTTCTTTTTCTTGCTTTCATCCTTCCTTAAAGTTTCAGGATTGTTAATGTTTAAGAATAATTTGTGTACTAATAATGTTAATTGATCATTAAGTTTAATAGAATTCACCTGTAAATACGCCTGGAACTACTCTTTCCTCTCTTTGGTAGTTCCATTAGTTAGTTCAATTTCTTTTTCTGAAATTGAATTAAATTTCGTATTCTGTTCTGTTAATATTTTTTGTATTTCTTCATCTTTTTTACATTCTTATATGTAATAGGATATAGTAGATTGTAGATTTAGTGTTGTACTACTAATTCACGTAGATTTTCTCTAATTACACTTGTTTATTTTAGTAGTTTGATTTTTAACAATTAGGACGCATAAAAATATCACCACTGAAGAGCTTAAAACTTTCGGCTTTTGCAAAACGCAATGCCAACGTGGGGTGGTGGGGTGGTGGTGGAATACCTTTTCCTTTAACATAAAGTTTAGGACGTTTCTCTCGATAAAAAGAAAATTACTGCTGAGAAAAGAAATGCTTCACATCAGCCTTCGGGACTAAAGTGAAACATTATTACCAACGCTGACGCAGGAAATCCCCAGCTTTCTCCATATAGCTCAGCAGGGAGATTTGGACTTTCTCCTTTCGTTCGTCCCCCACCCTCCACCCCGTCCTGTTAATGAAAGGAGCTTGTTCAAAAGCAGGGCAAACGTTAAGAGCTGGGACTTAAGTGAACGAATGGAAAGCGTGAACATTTCGGGGCACTTTCAGGTGCTCCGAGGCTGACGCACTGGCAGTGCGGAGCAGGGGACCTGAAACTCCCCTCACTCCAGCGCGCTGGGGCTGGGGGTGGACCTGAGAAGAAGGGGAGGGAGAAGAGGGAGCGGCGGGACGAGGGCAAGGAAGGCGCACCTCTGCCCCACAGCCCCACACTCTCCACTTGCATTCAGGCCCAGCAAAGGACACTGGAAAGGTGAGCGGGGGCGCGGGCTGCTGGTGGGTGGAGGGAATGAAGGAGGGAGAGAAGGGCTCCCAAGTCGGCCGCGCCACCCCCGCCCAAGGTTCCGGGGAAACCCCACCCAGCAGCAGACGCCGGAGGGAGGGGAAGGGGAAGGGCCTGCGCGACCAGAGCGCAGCAAACCACCCTCTTTACCCTCCCACCAGCTCAGGTGGGTCTGTCCCGCCGGCTCCTCCTCGCTTTCCTTTTGAGCACTCGAAAAGCCGCTAGGCAGGGAAGTGTCGTAAAGCTGGAGGACAGGAAACTTTACCGGGGGGTAACAGCGACGGTGCTTTACGGCAGGAGAGGCTGAGTGAAAAAACTCGGTGGCGGCAGCAGCGGCAGTGGTGGCCGAGCAGGAGGAGGTGGCGGCGGCGGCGCGGCCAAGGAGGAGGAGGCGGCAGCGGAGGAGGAGAGGGAGGAGGCAGAGGAGGAGGAGGAGGAGCGGCGGCGGGGACTGGTGTGGGGTTAGTGGCGCGGAGGCGCAGCGGAGGGGGGCGGCAGGCCCGGCGGCCCGGCCTGGGCGCTGGGGGAGGAGGCGGCCGAGGGTGCCGCCGGGCAGCTGGGCGGCGCTGTAAAAGCAGAGGCGGGGGTCACAATAAAGGGTCTGGGGGCAGCTGCTCCGGGAGGGACGGTCTCCGTCTTTGTTCCCCTCCCCTCTCCCCGGTCACGCTCCCCACCTTCGCCCCCTTTCCCTTCACCTGGAGAAGCGGCCCGGACTCATGGGCTCTTTTCTCGGTCTGTGTCGCTTCTAGGATGGCGGAGATACCGCCCGGGCCTAGCAGCCTCCTCCCTCCGCCGCCACCGGCCGCGGCCGAGCCCTGCTGCCCCTTCCCCGCGGGGGCCGCCCCGGTCTGCTGCAGCGAGGACGAAGAGGACGACGAGGAGCACCGAGGAGGAGGAGGAGAAGGCGGCGGCGGCGGCGGCAGGGGCCGGGGCAGGGGCCCGGGCCGGGCCGCCGAGGCGGCTGCCTCCAAGGGGCATCAGCGTCTCCATTGCCCGCCGCCGCCGCCGCCGGCGCAGCAGCGGGAGCAGCAGCAGCAGCAGCAGCTCAACGGGCTGATCAGCCCCGAGCTGAGGCACCTTCGGGCGGCCGCCTCCCTTAAGAGCAAGATCGTGGGCGCCGCCGACCCGACCTCGGGCCCCGCCACCGACGGGAATCCGAGGGCGACTGCAACCAAAAGAGCTGGGCAGCCCCCCAGTGAGAGACCCCCTCACGCTGTCCCCAGTAATGCAAGAACTGCGCCCCCAAACCCAGCGGCACCGGCGGCAGCAGCAGCCGCAGGCGGCCTGGCGTCGGCCCGCAATGGACTGGCTGGGGGGACTGAGCAAGAGGAGGAGGAAGATGAATCGCTGCTGCTGCTCTCCTCGTCCCTGACAGCTGTCTGCAGCTTAACAACCTCCTGTGACAGGGAGGCAGAACCTGAGGAGGATCGGACGATACGATACGTCCGATACGAATCCGAGCTACAAATGCCCGATATCATGAGACTGATCACCAAAGATCTGTCTGAACCCTACTCCATTTATACCTATAGATATTTTATCCACAACTGGCCACAGCTATGCTTCTTGGTAAGTGGGTGGAAGGAGAAAAAGGGGGTGACCCCTCAGAGGATCCAGACCATGCGGGCTAGGGAATGTGTGGCAGCTGACACATTTCCTGAACCCCTGCATTTCATAGTACAGAATGTGGTGTAAAGTAAATATACACACAGTTATTTGAGGGGTTTTTAAAAAAATTGTTTTGAAGGTAAGAAATCATGCATAGGGTCAACTGTATTGATGTAATGGAAGTTTAATGTGAAGGGATTGGGGGTCTTCTGCCATGGATGATGATAGTAATTGTGTTTTAACTAAGTCTTGAGAAGATCTGTTCATCATCTTCAAAACGCTTTACAGTTATTAACTTTGAACATGATTCTACTCAGATACAGGCTGTATTAATCTTTCAGAGGAGAAATGTATCCAAAATTTTTGTACTGCTAATAGAGTAATCAAAAACATGTTTTGATGAGCGCGATTGTCTATAATGATGTGGCTGAGTTGAAGCATTAAATCTTACAAACACATTCTGTAGTCATAGAGGTGTTTTGTTTTTTTTTTTTAAACTTTAGGACAGTCAACTATAGCTGGCCTGGTTTTTGGTGTGCTACTGGCACTTATTTTAACTTTGAACTTAATATCAAAGGAGATGCACTTGCGTAAGATGTGGAAAACCAGGTGTGAAATTGTTACAGATTTTTTTTAAGTTTAGGATGGGCAGACATCAAAAAATAAGGGCTTTTGTGTGCCATGTACATCTGATAAAAATGATTTCTGTGTTTTAGATTAGCATAATTTTCTCGTTATTAATGAGAGGAGATAGATATCTATCTGTATCTATATCTATCTGTCTATATATGTGATTTTTTTTTAATGCATTCAGCTAGCAAGTTTTTAGTTTTTACAAAAGAAATTCCATTCCTGGCAGTGATACATAGTAAGTAAGCTGGGTTACAGGTGAACATACATGGCTTTTATTGTATAAGTACAAATAAATTATTTGATTTGTCTTGTAAAATTATAAAAGGGAGTGGTATTCCCCCAAATTCTTAGAACTATTTTATGATTTTGAAAGAGGAAACTAGCTACTTCATTAGCACTGTTTTTGTTTAGTTTAATGTAGTATCGGTAACTTGTACTTATTATCCAGACCATTTTCCACTACTTTAAAAGCTAATTACTTTTGTTACAGGTGGTCAGTCACTCAGGTGTTTTTAGTCTGAGAAAAGGACTTAATTGTGGTTAACAGTACCATTATCAGTCTATCCTTACATAGTCTTAGGATTGGTAGTGGTTTCTTTTACTTTATGCTGAATCTGCCATTATACCATGTAAAGTGGGTTTCTTTGGGTTTTTGTGGGATTCCAAATTGATACTAGAGAGGGAATTACTTTTTAAGAAATAGTCATTTCATTAGGTATTTTAAATGTTTATGTATTTTTCTAATTCTCTTAGGAATAGCTGATGGTTATGTCAGTTGCCTTTTTTGTTATTCCTATAAAAAACACTGATTAAGTTGCAAGGTAAACTAAAGAAATACATGTTCTTGTAGTGAGCTAGATTTTTAATGAAAATACCTTAAACTTTATCTGTTAATTCAGTTTTTAAACACTTAACAGTTTGTGTTCTCTTATTTCATAGGACTGTACTGTCAATTCTATAGGAAAAGGTTTTGTGGTAGTTAGATACTGAAGAAGACATAGTTCATGATTTTTATAGGGTCTTTGATTTTCCTGCTGATTTTTAGATACAAAGGCTTAATATCCAAAACTTCAGATTTCCCTCGGCAAGATTTGTGCTTGCCTGTCTAGATTTAGGCAATGAAGATTAGAGTGTGTTAGCACTTGCTGTTCCTTTCCTGGGAGTTTTTAAAATTTAGATTTTTCCTTTAAGAACTAGAGCTGTTACAAATAAATGCAAATTTTTGCATAGTTATAGGGCTCAGGAGTTGCTGGAGACTTTTGAGATTATCTAGATTAACCTATTCATTTATCCACACAAATGAGGAAACTGAAGTCCATGGGATTTGTGGCTTGACTAAGGACATGTAGTGGCAACCCAAGGCTTTTGACTACCAGATTGATAATATATTTCATAATGAGAATTTAGATTCAAGAACAGGCAAATGATAGATTAAGAAGCACACCAGGAATGGAATCACTGAATCTTCTTGTTGGAGGACACTTTAGAACCTATCTTACCAAGTGGTACCTGTGTAAGAGTCTTCCTAACAAGTAAACACATCAGCCCTTCAAATACTTGAAAACAACTATCATGTCCTCCCTCATTTCTTCAACCAACCTATTGCTTGGTCTGGCCCAGGGGTGGGGAACCTGCAGCCCCGAGGCCACATGTGACCCTCTGGCTCTGCAAGTGTGGCCCTTTGACTGAATCCAAACTTCACATGTGGCCCTGTCAAGTTTGGATTCAGTCAAAGGGCTTCACTTGTGGACCTAGAGGGTCACATGTGGCCTTGAGGCTGCAGGTTCCCCGCCCACCCCCCCACCCCAGACTAGACTCAAAGCTCCTCCCATCTCTATTTTTCTCCTTTTATGCATTCTTTAGTTTATCAATCACAGGACCTTGGTTGAAATATGTGGCCTATTACTTCTTGTGCCACCTTAAGTAAATCACTTAGCCTCTCTGTGCTTTAGTTTCCTTATCTGTAAAATGAAAAGGTTGGACAATACGATCACCAGTGTTCTTGGAAGTTGTATGTGTGTAGGTTTTTTTTCCTTTTAATTTTGGTACTGTACTAGAGGTAATTTAGTTTTATACCAGAATATCTTCCCTTGGAAAGTGGCCTGTGACACTGCAACGTTAAGCCATCTCCCTATGGTCACACAGCTGTTATGGGTCAGAGGCAGGATTAGAACCTAGGTTTTTCTGACTCTGGAACGAGCCCTTTCCCCACTGTGTCGTACTGCCTCTTCCTAAAGCCTGTGATCTTATGAACATAAGTAAAATTGAATCCAGCCCATGACCTGAACAACCAAAGGCTATTTTGTAAGATTGTATGTTTGGCTACCCTGACAACTTGGAAACATTATGGAGTTCTTAAGATGTCCTTAACCTCTAATGGATTAAATGAAGATAACATGAAAATGGCAGGTACCATAAAAATGATATGCATTGACAAAACGGTATTATATATTTCTTTTTAGCACCATCCTTGAATTTATCTAAAAATTTTTTGAAACCATTATTTCCAGTATGTATCATCTCTTTGGTAATGAGTCTGTAAGTGTATTTATGTTAAATGTATAAAGTAGTACTTTATTTTCTTTGTCCTAAACGTTCATGATCCAAAGCTTCAATTAGTCTTTCCCTGGATTTGTAAACAAGTCCATATTTGCACAGTTCATATCCTTTGTGATTTTATAGAATTTGATAAGATCCACACTAAGATTAACAGTACTGATCTTTTTTCAATTTCACAGATATTTACTTAGAAAAATCAGTATCTGGTAGTAATAGATTGAGAGTGCATGTTTAAAACTTTTTACTTTGGAATAATTTTTTCCCTGGAAAATGAAGTCAGAATTCTTCAAATACAATTTTAATAATCTAACAATATATTCCAAAATTTTAAAATGACAAATACTTAGCTTTTCTTTAAGTTTAAAAACCGAAAGGTTTTTTAGCTTGATACTTGTTACTAACATTTTATTAAGAAATTTTTCATTTATGCTAAGTCTTAGGCCTTTTTGTATAAAGTAGTTTTTTTGTTCTTGTAGATGATAATGCAAGTATTAATTTTGTCTGCTTATTTCTGCTTGACTAAGGGGCCAGAGGTGAACTAAATTAAGTCAGTCTAATTATTAATAGTAAGCTGTATTAGATTTAGTGTTTTTAATAACTTTAATACTCTCAATTGGGTGATTTCACGGTTTTGAGTCTTAGAGAGATATAGATTTCCTAAGATTTTATTCATACAAACTGGGTTCATTCCAGGAGTCCCTACTAATAAAGATTTGTCTTAATATTCTAGATAAAATAAATTACATGGGCATTTTCCCACTTGAAAGTTACAGCTCTAGAAAATGATACTAATGTATGTGTGGATTTGGTTTGTTTTGTTTTTTTTTTTTGCTTATATGTCAATTTATGTGGGTTAGCATCATTAGTTTTCCTAATAAGTAGGTAGATTCATTCAGATTGTTTTTCAGTGTTGCTTTTATTTCCTTTTTTGTCTAAAAACTGCATTTTTCTTTAAATTATATAACTTTTAAAATGAATAACAATTTCAGTCAAATATTACTTTGTGTAATTGTATTTTTATTCAGGTCAAGTTATAAATATGCCATTTACTTTACCATGTAAGATATGATTTGTATGTGATTTTTCATTGTGGTTATAGGAGTTCCATTCAACAGACATTTGTTAAGCTCTTAATTATGTGCCAGGCACTAGGAATACAAAAAAAGAAAGAAAGAATCCCTGCCCTCAAAGTGCTTACATTCTTCTGGGAAAGATCCTATCACGAGTATAACTCTATTTTTTCCCACAGGATCCATGTTTAGTATACAGGGTTTCCCCTGGAATGAAACTAACCCTTGAATCTTAGTAGAAAAAGAATTTTGTTTAAAAAAATTCAAAAAATTCAAAATGAATCAGATTAATTTGTTTTGAGTTATGAAAGCACAAATAAAAGTTTCAGAGTTTTGTTAGTACCAAACAGTTTTGGGGAACTATGATAGGAACGTTTTATGAGATAATAAAATATATTTAACTAACATGGAATTTAGGATAAAACATATTCTGTTTTGTTTTTTAATTTTAGATAAAATATATTCTGAAACAGTGCTCTAATCATTTGTTTTCTATAAAGTCCCTTTAAAAAAAGTTTTGTAGAGTCATTGATTTAGAGATGTAAGATCCTCCAGCCTAACCCCCTCAATTTGTATTTGAGTAAACCAGATTCAAGAAGTTAAGTGACTTTTCTGAGGTTGCACAGATATCAGGAGAATCAGGATTTCAACTGTGGACACTATCCAGTTTAAAAACCAAACACTTTCCACTGTATCTTACTGCCTCTCAGGGTAGAACTTTTAAAATCAGGCTCCAAAATATTTTTTTTTAAGTCATGGTGTTTTCTGTATTACTACAATCTGAACTTTTTCTGTCTTAAGAGCAAAATGAAAGATTTTAGAAGTATGTCATCTCAGTAATTTGTTTTCTCCTTAAATTTGATTCCATTACTTTTTTGGGGGGGAGAGGGAAACCTAGTTCCTTCTTGGAAAAGTCATTGTTAAGTGGAAAAGTCATTTTTTTTGCCTGAGACGTTAGTGTTATAAATGTTATATTATGAAATATTTAATTATGTTAAAATGCTCCAATATTCCTAAGTATCTATAAACATATAGATGTTTTTTTCCCAGTGATATGCAGATCACAGCTCATTCATACCAGTCCTTGGATGGGTGGAGATACTACTGTGATGAAATTTGTTAAAAGACAGCATGACTCAAACTTTTTATGACTGGAATTTTGTGAAACATCTCTTCAGTATTATTAATTAGGATGCTTGTGAAATTGGCATCTAATAAACATTTGTTTGTTTTTTACAAAGTTCTGGAAAAACTGACGAGCACTAGTAAGATTAAAATCTTAAAATTCATATTCCTCTGGTTTTGAAATTTATACTGGAACTTCTTCACTATATAAATAATGCTGTCCTCAAAGCCTATGAATTAGGACTGCCTTATAGGTGAGACTGCCTTCCATGTGGTCTTTTTGGCACTTAAATAACTAAAATTCCTTTGAGAGTCAAAATACGTATCCTCCTTCTAATGAATTCTCTTCTCTGTATTAAAGGCTACTAGTAAAGGTAAATCCATTTTCTAAAAAAGTGAATGGCAGATGACTCAAAACAGCTATTTTTCAAAGACCTATGGCCAAAGTAATATGCTGTACACTTTTATTCCAAAATGATTGTATCTGCTCTTTCTAGTAAACTGGTCAAGAAATTCAGTATTGAGGTGTACTATAATAAATGCTGACATAGAGCGCTAGAATTAAGCCAGTAGTTCGAACTCAAATGTTCTGAATCAACATTTTTTTCTACATGTTTTCAGTCTCCTTTCTCTACCCAAAAGACGATGATATTTGCTTATCATGGTTCATGCAAAAAATTATAATTCTTATTCACTTTGTTGTGAAATCTGTAGTTACTCAATACCTACATTGCAGGATGTGCTAGTTGACCTGTTTTTCAGGCTGTTATCAATATGTATAATAATGTAATAAGAAATGCACGTCCCAGGAAGTTCCTAGGTTATAATTGTTAAGGAAATTCTGATTTGGTTAGTCTATTATTTGCAATCTTGAGGTTTTTACCTAATAACATTGAAAGGTTTAGAGCTATTTCGTAGAAATGTATTATATCTGATAAGAACATGCACTTCATAATTGTTCATTTATTTTTAAGGCCGTGGTAGGGGAGGAGTGTGTAGGTGCCATCGTTTGCAAGTTGGATATGCACAAAAAGATGTTCCGCAGAGGTTATATAGCCATGTTAGCAGTGGATTCCAAATACAGGAGAAATGGCATTGGTAAGAAAAAAATTTTTTATTCATGAAGTTAAAGCAGTGATTGGGTACTTTTAAGTTTTGAAACCAAGGCCAATGAAAATGAAATTGGTATATAGAAATGAACCTATGAAACTGGGGAAAATAAGCTAATGGACCTGATGCCCACTCATGATACTTAAAGACCTCTCATTTTGACTCTAAAATTTTATTTAAAACAATTATAGTATTTTTAAATTTTTTCTCCTTTTATGCTTCTTTTTAATTTCAATTCATATGTATTTTTAAACACCTATGATATGAAAGACCCTGTGCCAGGTGCTTGGGATACATATCTATGATATAGTCCCTATTCCAGAGGATCTCAGAGTTTTAATGGGGATCAGGGGAGAGAGCATACACAGAAAATCATAGATATAAGGAGGAGAGGATGCTAGAAGCAAAGGAGAGGGCCAAGGAAAGTGCTAAGAGGGATATAGAGGGCATGCTTGTGCGATTCTTCCTAGAGAACCTGTTGATATCTCTTTTTCTGCCTTTGGGCGTTGTTAATGTTTCACAGCTTGAGTGTAAAGTACCATTGATGATGTTGATGATGTTGATAGTTGGCATTTATAGAGCACTTTACAGGTTTCAAAAGTGCTCTACAAATATACTCACAAATACCCTGGGAAGTAAGTGATATTGCCCCCATTTTACAGCTCAGAAACTTGTTCAGCTAGTAAGTGATGCTGAATTTGAACTCTGGGCTTCTTGACTTCAGGTCCAGCATCCTATCCATTGTACCACCTACATGCCTCTGTTTTTGGTAACAAACCAAGAATTTTGGTTTTCAAAAACTTTCTGAGCTAAGTCTGCAAGCCAGCATGAAAATTCAACATGATTGTAAATTTAATTTAGGTGGACTGGGAAGTTACAAAGAAAGTTAAGATTTTATGATTTGGAAATTATTTTGTAGACAAAGACTCCTATTTTCTGTGTATTTTAAGAAAAACTGGTTTAAAAAAAAAAGAAAGGACTGGTGTCTTTTGAGAAGGTCCAAGAAGCTAATTAAGTGATAGCTCTTTTGAACCTTTATAATCCATTTTGATACTATGCCTCCCCCTTTTTTTGACACTACTTAATCTTCATACCTTTGACACATTTTTCAGAAAGATTCCAGAAAATTCCTTTGCAATGTATTAATACAACTGAACATAAATGTAAATTTTTGTTTAAATGTAAATTTTGTTTTTTCTACTCAAAAAAGTGCAAGTATGTCAGTGTAATATAATAGGAACAATTACATGCAGCTGTATTAGTAAACAAAAGTAATTTTACCAATTAACAGGTCATGTAATAGGTTTCCTATGCTCTTTATATGGTAACATGATTGATCTTTTGTGAAGTTTATTTAAAGAATGAATAAATGAAAAAGCATTTTTAGTGTGTTTGCTGAGTGCCAGGCGCTATGCTGGGCTTTGGCTAGGAGGCAGAGAGAGGAAATAGAAAAGTAAGACAAAACCTCTTCTCAAGAAGCTGCTTCTCAAATTAGAGGAGATGACACATAAGGATGGTTCAGCTTCAGCGTGGATAGGAAGGCCCAGAAGTCTTAAGGGTATAGCAGCAGGTTGGATGACAAGAATCTTTAGGATGAGTTGGCAAGTCAGATGACAGTGGGTGTTTGGAGGGTGTAGCAGCAGGACAGATCATACAATCTGGAGGATCTTGGGATTCAGTGGTAGGGCAGATATTAAGGCCTGGTCTTGCCAAGAGGATTGTAGTTGGTAGCTCCTAGCTTAGCCAAGTGGTATGAGAAGTCATTTCTGCTCCGCAAGGCATTAGGCAGGATTAGGGTGGGGCAACCTTAAGGAAATGTCTTGGAAATTCTGGGTGTTCTTTCTCAGGGATAGAAATGAGAAAAGTGGAAGGGGAATTGGCAGAAAGTTGAAAGAGAAGGACGTCATTGCTGTGGTTACCCAGTGTCTTGGGTAGGGTGTGCTGATTTTGGGCAAGTGGGAGGAGGGTAGGGGAAAATTTAAGAAGGAAGAATCTTTGGTGTTAAGGAATCTAAAGTGGCATGTAACCAATCCAGTTTAGTTTGGAATAAATATTATTTTAAATTTTATTATTATAATAAGAATATTATTATATTATATGTAATTATTATATTATATAATTAATTAATATAAGAATATTATTATAAAGATTTTAAATTTAAGACTCTTTCTCCTAGACCCACTGCACAGATTTGTCCTGACTAGCCTAGTGTTCATGAGAATTATAGAGTTTAAGGTCCAATGCACCATCTAGGTGGTGCAGTGGATAGAGTGTCAGGTGTGGAATCCGAAGACCAGAGTTTAAATGCAGCCTCAGACACTTATTAGCTATGTGACCCTGGGGAAGTCACTTAACCCTGTTTGCCTTGGTTTCTTCATCTGTAAAGTGAACTGGAGAAGGAAATGGCAAACCACTTCAGTGTCTTTGCCAAGAAAACCCCAAATACGGTCATGAAGAGTTGGACATGACTGAAACAACTGAATGGGAGTCTTATTTTAGACTCTGCTCCCATCTTCAGTAAATCAGTTGGATCCTTACTTTTCTTTTGTGCTTCTGTCTTTCCAAAGACAGTCATAAAGTCAGAACGGTTTCTTATCTGGAAGACTTCTTTGACAGTTCATAGGTCCCCTGAATTTATGAACCAGAATCTTTGGAATCTTTTGGGGTTGCTGATTGGAGATTGTCAGCTTAACTTGATGTCTAACCACCTATGGCTTATGTAGTGTTTCACACAGCTACATATTTGGTCTAAGGTCTAATAAACTCTAATGTTATATATGCCTACTGACAATTAATAAGGTAGTTTTTGAGACTGTGTTCAATATAGACCTTAGTATTTTGTGTTTCTGCATTCTGAATTCTGTAACTCAGACTCTTAAAGAAATACTTTTATTTTTATTTTGCTAACACTGAAATCTATATTCTAGGTACTAACTTGGTTAAGAAAGCTATTTATGCCATGGTTGAAGGAGACTGCGATGAGGTAAGTCCCTATGAACATTTAATAGCCTAGTTTCCTAAGAGATTTAAATAATTTTAACTTAGCACATATTTGGGAAAATTAAGAAATATTTTATACATTGAAATATTAATGGAAACATAAGTGAAAGTTTTAAGTAAGATTTGATGTAGGTATTTTCAATAAACATTTTTAAAATTGGTTTCTTAATAATTATATGTAATAATAATCCTATGTATCTTTCTCAGAAAATTACTACCTCATTCTTACTTTTCATAGAAAAATATCACTGTTCAACCAAGGTAGCTTATTGAATTTCTAAGTGAAATAATGTATGCAAAGTGCTTTGCAAACTTTAAGGAGCTATATAAATTTCAATTATTTTTATTATTCTAATTTAATTATCATATACTATCTTTAATTTCTCTTTAAATAATTATTTTTTACAGTGGAGAAAGCTGCCTACCCCAGGGACAGGCTACTCAGACTTGAAAAACTTTTAATGCAAAACCTATAAAAATTGGAAATTACCTATATAGCTCTCTGCATTTTTACCTAAGAATGCATTTTTTTTTTATCTTTAAGCACTTATTTTTTGCAGCATAGCAGGCATTTGATAAATGATTATTGACAGTGACAATTTTACTGTTGTTATACTGCAATGTTATTATGGAACTACATGGCAGGAGATGGCCGTGAGTCAGTAGTCTGAAGAAGTATTTGTTAATAACGATACCACACATTTGTTTAGCACTTTATAGTTTACAAAGTACTTTCACATTTGTTAACTCTTTTGATCTTTACAACAAATCTTTAAGACTGGAAAGGCAGGTATTATCCTCATTTTATAGATGATGATGTGATTGAGAGTCGTGACTCATCAAGATCATGTAGCTAGTAAGTAGCATTGGAATAAACTCAAAAAGCAATCTTCTAACTCTCATAACTATACTGCCACTTTTGGTAGTGAGGCACAGTGGAAGGAGAACTGAATTTGAAGGCAGAAGACCCAGTTGGGTTCTCATTCTTGCTTTGTTAATTACCCACTTGTATGTCATTGAATGAGTCACTTTACCTCCCTAGGCCTCAGCTTGAAATGATTATATCTAAAATGAAGGTGATTTCTAAGGTCCCTGGTAGTTCTAAATCTTTATAATCCTAAAATGTAGGAGATTCAAAGGGGAATGGTGAAGTTAGATTGAGGTAGTAATTTTCTGAAGAAGACTTGAACAACCATTTCTCCACTTTCCCCCACTTTTGCAAAACATTTATAAAACCCTCGGTAATTTTTTCCCCAGCAGGTTTATCTCCTTGATCATATAGTTTGTATAGGTTACTATTGGAAATCAGATTTTGAGGAGGCCTAAAAAACATGCTAGTAGAAAAAAAAATTCTGGGATTTAAAATCATTTCTGGTTAAAAATCTTTAAGTAGATAAGTCACATATAGGGAATTTTAACAGTTGACTGCACAATTTGAAAAATTTTGAAATTATGTTTTGAGTTCAGTAGGCAAATTATTGCTGACAACTGAGATTTTAAGGAGAAAACTGGAGATCATTGATAAGCAGGAGGCTCTGATTTTGCATTACAGCCTTGCTGGCTTGATTATTCTATTAGGAAAACAAGTCGAATTTTATATCTATATGTAATAAACAAGTTGGAGAAGACTTCTGAATGATAGAATATACTCTTATCTCCCGATAGGGAAGAAAGGTAATTTCCAGGGACTACCTAGAAAACAAGGAATATTATCTTAGCGAATATTATAACTACCCTACTCTTTGCCATTACTTTTTTTCTTTCTTGGCTTTGCATAATGCATAAGCAGTTTTTCTTTGAATGTTCTGAAAAGTTTAGTTGGAAAATATGGTTTCAGATGAATGTTATATGTTTGCATTGTTTTATCAGAAAATCATTTTTCATCAGTGGTTTATTTTTCTGTTGCTTTTAAGTCAACAATCATTAATACTTTGTGACTGAAATGTGAAAAACTCCATACGCTGTTCACTGTTGTAGATATTTCATATTGAGGGACTCCTTTTAAAGTTCAAATAATTCTTTCTCTGGTTTGGACAGTTTTCCCATGGTAAAATGAATTGTTTAAAGGGATAGAGCTATTGTACTTTTCATTCCAGTCCTAGGACTTCCCCCATTTCATCTAAGGACTTAAAGATGGCAATTTAAAAAAATTTCAAAGTGAAGAAACGTACAAATTTGAGTTGAATTTGTGGACTAGTTGGTAGGAGTCTCAGCAAATAGCTTTAATCATGTTTAGTTTCTGAGTAGAATTCTAATATATCTTACTTTATTGGTAGGAAGGTTTGGGAAGTTGTGACATTTTAGGGATTTAGTGTGAAAAAGGTATCTGTTACAAGAAAGAGCAAGACAGACCATAGGAAAAAGTGTGAGGAAGATTTTAAGTATGCAAAAACAAGTTGCTCTGTTGTAGTCAGAACCTTTTATAGCCTAAAAACAGTAGGAAAACTTATTTGTACCACAAAGGTTCCCAAACCTATTTGGCCTACCATCTTCTTTAAAAAAAAAATTATTCAGTGCCCCCTTGGAAATCTACTTTCTTTAACCCTTTAATTTTTTTTTATTTACGTGATTTAAAAAATATATATAAAATATATTTTTTAAAAATGACACATTTTAAATTTAATAATTTATTGTAAATTTGTGGGTTTTTTTCCTGCATTGAAATTTTGATGTTGTAATATTGCATCATATAATCATATAGTATCATATTGTAAACAAGTCATTACATACACATATTCCTATCAATGCATGCTGGACACCCAACAATGTGCCATATGCTCGCCTGCCAACACTTGACCACTGATCGGTTATAATTTGCATTTTATGTGTTTATTTGGAAAATAATGTAATCACTACAACTTTAACTCTGTTATACAACAGATGAAACATGTGTGAACAATTTATCAAAATTTTCTTCTTTTTCCTTATGCTTCCGCCACCCCTTTAAGTTTATTCAATGCCCCCCCCCAATTGCACCTGAGGCTACTACTGTCCCTCTGAATGTTCCAGTGCCCTCCAGGGGATGGTATCACCCACTTTGGGAACCTCTGTGAGAAATAGTCTTCTGTTCCCAGATTGTAGTAGTCCTGAATATAATCATAATTATCAGATGTGGAGCATTTGAGTGTAACTGTGTAGAAAATAGTCCTTGAAACATCAATCATATGAAAGTTAATGAAACTTGGACTTCAGTGTTCATGACCTTATGATACAATCTCTTTGGAATAGCCATCAAATAAGAGTTTTTCTACAACTGAAGTTTAGAGACCTAAATTACGTATACAAATAAAATGAGATAAATGAGATGAATAGTTCTATAGTATAGAGATAGTATGGTACAGGAGAACCTGCTGATTAGAGAATGTCACTTTATCAAGGAGTTTTATACCTAGTTCTATGAGTTGGCTTTTTTTTTTTTTTAAGATTAAAAAAAAGCATATGCATTCTGATTTAGGCTTATCTATTTATGAGTAGCTTCCCAGTTGGGAGTCCTTTTTCTTCCTCACTAATTATTAATTATAGAACATTTTACGTTAAAAGGGGATGCTGGTAAACATGCCCAGTCTCTTTATTTTACATAAGAGGAACCAAGACCCAGTGGTTAAGTAGCTTGTCCAAGGTCATAGATCTAGAAAGTCCTTAGTACAGTGATTTTTTTTTCTATCCCTTTCATATATTTGGAAAGTTCTTATGCTTTGTCATTTACATATGTAGACTTTTCTCAGGGGCTACTGGAAAACTGGTAAGTTGATTTGTTCATTCAGAAGTAGTTCTTGAACGCTTACTACACGTCAGATGTAAGTTGCTTCAGATCACTCCTGAGTAGAGAAGAATGCCAAGAAATAAGAGGAACTTGAAGGGCAAGCTTCAGTATGAATGAAAAAATTTGAAAGATTACAATGTAGACAAAGTAAACAGTTGTTGTATTTACAGAAGTATTAGCTACTCATGTTACTTTTGACAGAAACAAAATTACCCATAAAAATATATGGTCTAAGAAAGACCTTGAAAGTTTGGATCTCCAAGAATATAAAGGCTACTTACTCATCAACTTGAATGATTAAGGGACTTAAATAATGTACGTTTTTGTCTTTATTAGCTTAGTTGAACTTTACCCAAAGAGTTAAGGAATATGAATTCATAGATACTTGGATTACTCTAGAAAATTTTCAGCAGTGTAACTCAAATTGGTCAAGCCATCCCTGCCCTGCCTTTTTTGTTTGTTTTTAACCCCACATCTGCTCAGTCAGTTTAGAACGTAGCATGTTCCTGTAGCCAATGATACTCAACATGTACCTACAACCACCATCTCCTGGGCAGCCAACCAAAAGAAATTGAGAGAAAGAAATCCTATACATTTTAGACTGGTTTACCTAATTCCTTTTAAAACTATGCATGCAATAGCAATATTGATTCATTTGGGAAGTGAAAATTTGATTTATTCCTGTAGAACTCTATGTAACTATTCCTGTTATATTATAGAAATATTTGATTTTTTTTTTGTACGCTTGCAAGGGTAGACTCTTGTGAGAATATACCTCTGTGTGTATGCTTTTAAACATAATTACATTTGATCTTTATGTCTATATAGACTTTTAATATATAACCACCATTTACTTATACTTTTTATTTGCTCTGAAAAATTAATCAGAATTACTCAGGTTATCCACGGATAAATAATGGCATGGTAAATTAAGCTATGATAAATTATCACTTGTGACTTTAAGGCAAGGTCAGCAATAAGCTAAGTCTAAGACACCAATAACTTTCTTCCAAATGATGTTATGATGTATTACATTAAAAAATGCAATGTGATCGTACATTACAACAGCATCCTGAAGACTAACATCTTAAAGATATGTAAATGAATAGAAAGTCATGATGTAAAAAGAGAAAAATTGGCCTTAAAACAAGGGGTTATATGGCTTCATAAATATGAAATGAATTAATCGAATGAGGTTTTGGCTTAGAATTGGCCATGTA